CATTTTAAGAGACAAGTCACTATGGCAACAATTTCTCTGATTAAATTTAGAGAGGCAATGCCTTCCGCTTCTGGAATATTCAACTTGTAGTAGTAGATATTACATACTGCTTCATACTGGGTCTTGTTTTTGCTTTTGTACTAGATAACTCTTCATGTTACCTTACTTAATGTAAAATCCTGTATCATAATAAAGAATAAATCCCTTTGCATACTTAATCATTAAACTGAAATCATATTGGCTAAAGCATTCTCAGATTAAAAATAGTGATGGTTATGTCATCCAGAATACTAATAGAGGGAAATACATGTTTTGAAACAATTGGAGGAGTCTACAGTCAATAACTTGAATTGTCTATAAACTTTATATTTTCCAGAAAACAATTGCCTAGATTACAAACAGAAAGTAATATAATTCCATATCAATAATAATAATAAGGTTCGATTAAGCAGTAGCAAATACCTTCTAGATTTCTTGCAAACAGGGAAGTCCATCAATTTTGTCCTAATTTAATGATATTTCCTCAACACCATTTAGCCTCTTTCTTGCTGCACTGAACCAAAGAACTGAAATTTCAGAATAGTAGTAATATCAGTACATATAATGTCACTCACTAAGCACCTGAGACATGCCAGGACTTGATTTATAAGTTTACTTCAACCAAGGGAAGCTAGAGATTGAATCCACTTAAAGATTTCATGTTTGTTTGTAAGGAAGATATAATATTTAGCATTGATTAAGAGTTTCTCTTTGAATCCTCACAATTCTATAAGTTGCTATATAAGACTTTGAATATTGTACAGATCAACTTCTATGCCCTGTTGAATCTTTCCTGAATCCATTATACAGATTAAGAAATCCGATCATGCCGGGCGCTAGTGGCTCACGCCTGTAATCTTAGCTACTCAGGAGGCTGAGATCTGAGGATCGCAGTTCAAAGTCAGCCCAGGCAGGAGAGACCTTGAGACTCCTATCTCCAATAAACCACCAGAAAACCGGAAGTGGCGCTGTAGCTCAAGTGGTAGAGCGCTGGCCTTGAGCTGAAGAGCTGAGGGACA